TGATTTGTAGTATCTAGGGTTGGAATGGTTAGGGTCTGACCCGGTTTCCGAAACCAGAGTCGCATCAATTTAAAAGGACTTTCTCGGTTTTGTAGGAGAACCGAGAGAGTGCGTGGAGGGAAACAAGTGATTTGAATTAGTTGCTCGGTTCCCAACGAATCCACTTTTTTATTTTTGGTTAATTTAAACAATAATATTTCAATATTTTCCCAATCAAGAGGGAGAAGTACCAATCAGGATTGGCCTAGTGACCAAATATATCCGTGTCCAATCCTAGTTTTTGGGCATTGTTGTAGCTTAAGCCTATTATTGCAAGAGCGGTTGTTTGACTGTAAAATTTGTGTACACCTGGATCTAATTCAAGCTATCGAAATATAAACAAAATATAGGTTTATAAAAAAAGAAATGGCACTATGAGACCCTCCAACACCTATGTGAGTAGGACCTCAAAGGATTATTATTAAATTTTGACGCAAATCTTTAAAAAAGTTATGATACGGGTGTAAGACCTGTGTGAATGGGTCTTCTAGAGATCTATATCAAAATTTAATGGTGATCTTTTGGAGTCTTACTCACATGAGTGTGAGAGGGTCTCATAGTATCATTACTCTTGTAAAAAATGTTTATGAAAAAAGGAAACATATGTAATCACTTCAATGACCATTTGCTGGATAACACTCCTTCATTTTATTTTATTTTATTTTTTATTTTTTGGGTAGCTCAGCTGTAGGAATCGAACTTGAGTAGTTATCTCAAAATCAAATTTTTTTTTTTTAATCAAAGATGTGTCGGACTTCAACCAAGACAACAGAACTCATTCATAAAGTGTGTTAAAGCCATTGTTAGCAAAATAGCCCGATTTAACCGCTAACTGCCCAGTTAGATCGGAATCAGCCACTGGCCAGTTCCGGTTTTGGGCGGTTAGGGTGATCAACCAGTATTTAAAAAATTAACTAAAAAACATATAGATAAATTCTAAAAAATAAAGAATTTGATTTGTAATGTATTTTTAAATATTATTTACATTATGGTAAAGATCTAAAATTGTTTTGGTCATTAATACTCACTTTTATATTTTCTCATATTTTTTAGAAAATTTTAAAATAGCCTTTGGAAAATATTAAATGGGTTAAAATCCATTTTTTTCATTAATTTTCAACTTCATTTGAATGTGTTTTGTTTTAATCATTCTTTATATTTTTTTCATATTTTAGTAGAATTTTTTATTTTTTATTTTTATTTTTTTAAACACTTTTTGTACCACTCAGAACTTGCTCGGTTAGAGCGATTGAATCAGCCAATTTACTGGTTAGGCCGGTTAAACTGCTTCCAGGCCCATATCCAGTTAACGTTCTGGTTCGATTTTGCGAACACTCGTTAGAGCTAATGTGCTTATACTATAACCAATATAACCAAAATTAATAAATTGTAACAAGATAGGAAAGCGTATATTACCAGAAGAGAATATAACAAGATAGAAAAGTGTATATTGCATGTAGCAAGATAAGAAAGTGGATATTACACTAATGTATTATCCATTATATATGCCATGAAAACACCACCGCAAGAAAGTGGTGTGTAGGGCACAATTACTTTCTCAAAGAGTTATTCTCTCTTTACAATTTCTTCCATAACAACATTGCTTGTACTTTTAAAAATATGTTATTTATGGGATTGTATTCTACGAGACCATTTACTTTCGATACGAGGATGTTATAGTAGCTTTTAGTCATTGGATGTAAAATCTGACAAATTAATGTGCATGATAATATTTGAAAAATTTCGTAAAATAAGAAAAATAATATTTGAAAAATTTTATTTTAGACTTTGTGCCTAATCAAGAACGCATCCCCAACCACCCAATTTCTCATAATGATTATGACCACTTTATATTAAAAGTAAATAGTTATTGTATATATCACCATGTACGTCAAAAAACTTAGGGTGCGGTTTGTATAGAGCTGAGGCTCTAAACAATCGAAGTAAAGTGTACCTTTAAATAATGTCGAAAAATATGGTTTCAATATTGGAAATCTTTGTGATAGCCTTAAAATATATTTTCGTCTTTAATTATAAAATTTAAAGCTTAAGAAATAGTGTAGATAGAGTAGATCTATGAAAATTTAAAAATCTTGAAAATGGACGGTTCAAAAATGCATTACAAGATGTACTATTTCCAAAACTTGAAATCTATTTTTATTTTTTCTCATGTTCATGCATCTTTTCGTGGAGATGATCAATTTGAGGATATTTGAGCATCAAAACAACCTCTTCTAGTACAACTTTTGAGGTGGGATTTAATTTAATTGTTTAGAGCTTTGGCTCTATATAAACTTTTTCCAAAAACTTATACCATGCTTTTCACCGTCTCAAACTGTAGCAATATTAACTTATAAATTCTTCCCCCTTTACTTTATGCTTTTGAGTATATCATTTGGTCAGAGTGTGTGTCTCATATGAAGGCAACGTTCATCAAGCAACTACCAGGTTAGAGTGTGTGTCTCATATGAAGGCAACGTTCATCAAACAACTACCATTTATCAAACCTACCTTTCATTTAATATCATGCTCTTTCTGCACGTTTGTTTCGTGTGAAATTGTTTTCTGAAAAATAATTTCATATGAAAAAATGCTTTCATGTGGTTAAGTATGAGAAATTTTTACATCAATTAGTTGTTAATTGTTATGAAAAGATACGTTAAGATCAATTGGTATGAAAATATTCCAATATTTAACCACATGAGGGACCTATTCACACAAACCAAACGTGCTTTTTTTTGTTTTGTTTTAAGGAACTGGGCGTATGTTTTCTTTTCTATTGATTTTCATGACAAACGCTTCAAAGAAATGTATTCCTATTCTTCTAACAATTCATAAAGTTGAGGAAACTATCTTACTTTATTTCAGGATATGGCTTTTGTAGGGCATCAATAAAGTTGCACAAGAAAACCTTTATAATGATTTGCATATTTATTGTCTTTCTTAAGTATTTTTAGGAAAAGTGTATAAAAAGACCATTTATTTTTAGTATAAAGAAGTCACAGTCTTTTTATCGGTCAAATTTCTAAATCAAGTGATAGTGAGTGTGTCACTAGATTTAAAATTAGAAAAATAAAAGTTTTTGAACTTCGTGACATGCCCAAAACCATCCAATTTGACATCTAATTGCTACGAGTAATTGTGGACTCCTTATAACAAAAATATAAGAACTTATAGTATGGAATTTTATGTTCCAAAATTGATTCAAATCTAACATATATGTAAGGGAAAAGTTTATATAGAGCCGAAATAATTAAAATTGAGCCAACCTAAAAAATTTCCCTATAAGAGGTTGTTTTGAAGCTCAAATATCTTCAAATTGATCATCTCGACATCAAGATGCATGGACATGAGAAAAAAAATGAATTTCAAGTTTTGAAAATAATGTATTTTGTAACGCATTTTTGGACCTCCAATTTTCAAGATTGTCAAGTTTTCATAGATCTATCGATCTACACTATTTTTGTAGCTTTAAAATTTATAAATAATTTCATATATATTTCAAGGCTATCACAAAGATTTCCAATAGTAAACCCACATTTTTTGATACTATTTGAAGGTAGGCTCTAATTTGATTGTTTAGAGCCTATGCTCCGCTCTATACAAACCGTACCCACATGTCAACACTTAAATGGTTTTTACACTTATATAGTATAAACCATCTTTATAACATATTGTCTTTTGTCCTTTATAGACCCATGATTGTCAAGGTAAAGATAATTTACGAGAATTGCAATTTATGATCAGATGGAGTTAAGGCTTTATAAAGTTGTGTCCCAACAAAATATTTTCCCTTTCCATTTCCCAGCATCTTTAGAATGAAAATAGAGATAAGACGCATTTGTTGTCCTAAAAAGAGAAATTTTCGTGAAGAGTAATGATCCTGAGATTTTTTCATACTCATGTGTATAGGATCTCAAAGAATCTCCATTAAATTTGGTATAGATCTTTAGAAAAGTCAAGTCTTTTTCTAGATATATGTACCAAATTTAATGGCGATAATTTGAGGTCCTATACACATGGGTGTGGAAAGGTTTCATAGGATCATTACTCTTTGTGAACCCGTTTAATTTGTGGTATTTAAAAGTTGTTTACATTTTTGGCAATTTTCCATCGTTTGTTTTCTTGAATTCTTTTATTTTCTCCTCGAGAAAATGCCAAAGTAAAAGGCTTTTCTCTCAAATTTGAAGAGGGATACCTGATTAATTCAATTTTCGAACTACAAAATAAATAGACCAACTTAAGATTTAAAGCTCTAATTTTGTTGCATGTAATTTATATTTTTATTTTCGAGAGTTTGCTCCAAACTAAGCCACTTGAAAACATATTTATTTAAGGGTGCAGTTGGCATACAGATGCATCTATAGCTGTAGAGGTAAGGTGCACCTTCAAATTTTTTCATGGTATATAATTTTGATGTAAAATATTCTTAGGATTATCTCAATATCTATTTTTATATCTCATTATAAAATTTTAAATTTAAAAAATGGTTAAAATCAAGTAGATCTATAAACATATGAAAATCTTGAAAATGGACGGTGTAGTTAATATGTTGTAAAATACATTATTTTCGAGACTTAAAATCTTTTTATTTGTCATGTTCATACATCTCGATGTCGAGATGATCAATCAAAGGGTTTTTCAATATTAAAACTACCTTTTTCGATGGATTTTTGAGGTGCATCCATAGTTCTACATTATAAGTTGCATCTTTATATAAACTTTTTCCTTTATTTAAAGAGTGTGGTTTGTATAAAGTTGAAGCACTAAGCAATCAAAGTAAAGTGCACCTTTAAATAATCTTGAAAGATGTTGCTTTAGTATTGAAAATCTTTCCGAAGGTCCGGATATTTATTTTCATATATAATTATAAAATTTAAAGCTTAAAAAATATTGTAGAGGAGCATATCTATAAACAGTTGAAATTTTTGAAAATTGACATTCAAGAAAATGCATACAATATTTCAAAGATTTGAAATCCATTTTTTCTCACCTGTATACCTTGAAGTCGAAATGATCAATTGAAAGATTTTTGGCATCAAAAGTGTTTCTTCCAGTGAAAATTTGAGATGTATAAATTTTTTCCTTATTTAAAAGCTAGGAATAAAGCTTGAGTGGTTAGCGGTACTCCATCTCAAGTAGGACTCCAATAGCTTAACTACCTAAGAACAATGTTGATTTATTGGTTGAGATTAAATTCAATTTTGGGTTGCAAAAATGTTGAAGCTTTGCAAACTGTGTCCTGAGAGTAAATTCAATTTTGGGTTGGAAAAATGTTAAAGCTTTGAAAAGTGTGTCCTGAGATTAAATTCAATTTTGGGTTGCAAAAAAAAAATAGAAATGTTGAGGCATTTGAGAATGAATATATCTTCCTCCCAATCTTTCTCTCTCTACGTGCAAGTGCAAGCCCAAGCTATGACAGTAACCAGGCGATGTAGCAGCCGGCTTGCAAATGCAGGTTCTTTCTCTCTCTAAACCACTTGCAAATACAGGTTCTCTCTCTCTCTCTAAGTGTGGTTGGTCACTTCATGATCTTTGTGTCTCTAAGCCACTTACAAATAACAGGGTTCTCTTACTCTCTCTCTAACCATGGTTGGTCAGTTAGTTCATGTTCTGGTTCTCTCCATCTCTTAACAGGTGTTTCTCATCCATGTTCTCTCTCTAGGGATGCGTTGTCAGTTCTTGTTAACTTTTTCATTTTGATTATTATTCATTGATCCATGTTCTCTCTCTCTCTTCCATTTGTTTTTTAGGTATAAGCTCATTTCTTAGCTTTATAACGCATTGCAGACTGCAAGGCTTCCGAAGAGTCCAATGGGTCTAAAAATGGAGTTTATGTTAGGAAGAAGAGGCTCAAATCAACCACAGAAATTACCCCGAACTCCAAAACAGAAGTATGGGTCTGAAACCTTATTTCTTCTCTCTTAAACCCATTTTTATTCTGAATTTCCTTTATGTGATTTAACTATGCTTTTTTGGGGCTTTTGGTTCTTGAATATTATGCATTTCTTTTGGTCTTACTTGCACTTATTTCTTTTATATCAATTCCCAATATTTTTGCAAAATGTGCTTCTCAGTGGAGCTTATGTTTAAGGGTTGTAGTGATATCAGTGCGTCTAATGTTGGCAAATGTCTGATTGTATTATTGGATTTGGGTTCTACATGGACTTATGCACAACTGAATTCTGTTCTACTCTTCTTAAATTTATCTTGAAATCAGTTTTGCAAGTCAATTATTGGCTCTGGTTTTAGTTAGATCATCCTCAAATGAGATTACAGTGGAATGCAAATTGTAGCATACTATAGGAATCTGGCAATTTTAAGCAATTTTTTTTTGTCATTCCACTCCTGCTGCTATTTCATTGTGAGGAAGTGATCATGCTCCAAGCTTACGATAGAGTAAGTTTCGACCATGGATCCGTTCACCTATGTTGAGTTACTGGCACTTTTGAATGATGGGGTGGGTTTACAATCACTTATACCAAAACTAGCAGGGGAGGCTTAGATATATTCATACTGGTTAGGACCATAATTTCATAAGTTTCTATTACTCCTTTACTGTGACAAAAATAACCAGGTCTTCAACATTGATCGTTGCCTTTTCCTTGAGGCCTTTATGTTTATTATCATATTTGGTGATAATTGTAGCATAAAATAGGTAAGTCCTTGTTCTTGACGAACACTGAATATTTTGCTGCAATCTTTATTGCATCCTGCATGACCAATGGTTAAACCTACAGACCAAAGTCCTCGGTGCTTGTTTCCTAATTCGGTTTTGAAAAGAAGTCCATGTTATCATAGGAAACATAAGTTGATTTTTAGGAGGTTTACCTGATGAAATAGTGTGTTGGGGATTTAAATATGTGATGTTGGATAGAATGGTTATTACTTTGTAAGTTGTGATTCTCTAGAAGCTTGCAATGCTAATACAGTGATCCCTCCTTTTTGGCAGCAGGGCTATCTCGATCATCATGAAAATATTTGGGACAATTTGTTTTATGTGGATGGAGATGTTGAGTCTCATAACACAAGATTCATCATTGCTTTTGGTTGGAAGGAAAGGTTTTAGCATTCTTTAGGGATCCCTCTGTGAGTCTACTTCCAGCCATTAGCCACTGTTTCTGGACTGATGGCCAAGAACGTGGGTTTCCTATCCTTTTGTCTTCTAGCTTATGTTGTTGGAGCATCTTGGCTCATGGAGTTGGTTAAGAATTGGTTGGTGTCTTGCATCCGTTGGGCCTAACACTTTTTGTAATCTTTCTAAAAAACATTTTTTGAGAGGGACATTGAAGATGTGGAGATGTTCCTATGCATGAATCCTATACATCTACTACTTACTCTAGTCAATAAAATAAACCATCAAGAATACAAGATGTCGTACTTGGAAATATTTGGAGACATTCATGTCTGGGTTGTGGTCTTTGTTGTGCTTATTGTCCACTAGAATTATGTTAAGGCCAGTGATTAAAAAGGTGGACTGGGTTAGGGTCCCAAACCCCCCAATTCACCCAGCCTTACCAAAGAGACATGTAGGTTTAATTAAAAAACAAAGTGGCCCTGAATCATGTGGCTCCCGATCTCGAGCCTACTTGTGTGAGTTCTGAGTCGGCCCACAGATATTTTAATCACTAGTTAAGGCCTTTGTTTTCCTTGGGTGTTTTTTTTATTGTCGTTATGTGTTGCAACATATCATTCTTGACCTCTTGTTATGAGATGGTCTCCTTGATCTGCCTTACCATGTCTAGCATGTAAGAAGGTCAATCTTCTATCTCCCAATTTAATATGGTTTTTCCCTCAGATTTCTGAATGCATGATTATGCTTTAGCATTGGAGGTGCACATAATGGTTTACAATACAATAGATTTGATTTATTGAATCTTTCATGCGATCATTTCTATCAAGTTATGACCTTCATATTTATAAGCTTTTTCTTCTTTTATGATTAAATATTTTCAGCATGGCAGTTTGCCTGATATTGAAGACTTCAGTTACGGAAAAATTGAGGCCACCTTTGGTCAAAAAAGAGGAAAGCTTGAGGCCTCTGACCATTTGAGTAAGAACCTTACACTCTTACAATGTTTTTGCTCAAGTATAGATGCCCAATATTTACAAAGTGACAAAAGTTTGGAGGCTCTACCATGTAGTCACCATAGTACAACTTCTTATTGTTCCGTTCAGCAAGATTGATTGTTTTTAAATGACTATCGTTAAAATGCAAAGTGACTGTAATTAGATTTATATCTCATTCTAAATCTATTTGTATGTTGCATTCACAATGATCAGAAAGATATTTGTTTCCAAATTTATTTCTTAGGATTTGTTGTTGTGGTTCATCTTGAGCTTGTAGAAATTGACGAACACCCTTTTAATTTTTATCTTCATGTGCATTTGTTATATATAGGGTTATGTTAAGGTGCTTACACTATGGAGTAATTTATCATTGTACTCAACAATTTTGGACATTTCTATTCTCTTGTTTTGCACATGAAGCATTTTTTTAATAAGGGTATTTTTGGTCATTAAGAGGGTGTGACGTCACCCATATGGAGCATTAAATGCCACTAGTGTGCTCCATGTGGGTGATGTCACACCCCATGTTGATGATGTCATACGCTCCTAATGAACAAAAATACCCTTACTAAAAAAATGCTCAATGTACAAAACAAGGGTATAGAAGTGTCCAAAATTGTTGAGTACAATGATAAATTACGCCATAGTATGAGCACCCTAACATAACCCATATATAGTATTAAGACCAAAATCAGGAATGGGAATTTCTTTTTCCTTTAAGGTGGCCCTTAGCTAATCGAAATATCCTATTGTTTGTCTATTCTTCTTTGTGAGCTTATTAAATCTTTTATGAAAAGCATCTAGTAATTCTTTGGAGAATTCAGCTAGATACCAATCACGTATTTCTCTATTGTCTTAAAAAAGATTAATCATTCTTGATTGCTTCTAAATCTAATTTTTCTTCTTTCTGGAGAGTAGGTATGTTAAAGTCTAGGTCCGAAGGTGTTGGCTCATGCACTGATGAACGGGGTTCGTACATTTTATAAACAGGTTGTTGGATATTGCTATTTGTTCGGGGTAAACCCTCTATTATAGGCATTTTGGTATGTTGACGAAGTTGAATGCCCAGAGGGGGTAGGTATTATGGGTGGAATCCGTATTAAATCTTCTGAAAGATTAAACCTAGCTCTCCTATTAGAGTTAAATTGAATCTCAATATCACCATCAGGATATTCGATAATTTGATCAGGTTCACGATTAACCAGAGTCTTATACTGTTGATTTTCATTCCGTATAGACCAGTTATCAGGAAGGGTAATTTGGGATCAGCTAACTGTTTTATGAATTACTGTATTGGATTTTTCCATATTAGTTTGGAAAAATATTGTTTGTCCTTTAGTATCCATGTAGAGGATAGTCGGGCTTAAGGTATTCATTACTTTATAGCATATTCTATATATTATAGCAATATTTTGAGATCCAGGGTTCATATCAAACCCTTGGGTCTTTAGATTTAAGGTGAGTACCTTAAGGAGATTAGGGTCAGTTAAAGATACTGAAAAATTTGGGAAACAATTAAAATATATAGGTCCATTACATAAACTGGACTCGACAACTCCTAATAAAGAATTAAAAAATCTATTATGACGACTATCTCTTAAACATAATAATATAGAATTATTTAGTCCTAGACGAGTGGGGGGTTTTATAGCTACTTGGATGAGCCCTATATGTAAGTACTTGTGTTCTTTAGTCTTATGATTTTGTATCATACGTTCAGATAAGAGTTGAAAACTTTGTTGTTCATTATTAACAGATATGCTTTGTTCTACAGTTTTTATAGCATAGCTAGTTCTAAATTCAAAAGTACCTTTCTTATATATGTCTGTTATAGGAACCTTGGGTATGTTCCAATTCTGTATCTGTTTTTCAATATTATCAATTATTATCTCCTCTTTATTTTTTATTCGTAGTGTACTGTTGGACGAAGATGTTGTTCTGTCGGACAGTGTCCTAATAAAAGTTTCCATTGAGATAACGGATGAGTACACGAGTCAATCGGTTTACAATCCTTGTGCCTTTGATGACTCTCTTAGCCTTTTGCGGCGGTACGGGTTACGACGACTTTGGTCTCAACTCTCGGACTTATCTCTAATGATAAATTTTATTAAGCTATTGGCCTCTAGAACAGTATTTTCTTCTTACAGTTCACCACTGTAAAACTAGCGTGGCTCTGATACCAAGATGACCCAAGATCTATTTTTCGAGCATGTATTAAACAAATATTGAAGGCTCAATATAAAAATCTAGTACACTTAATATATAGATAAACAACGACACAGATAAACATTAATAAAGGAGAGATGTCCACAACAATCCAGTTAACATAAGTAGTAGTCCTGAATTTTAGGCAGAAGATAAATTTAACTTGCATGGAAATAAGAAAACTTATATTAAAAGAAAACTTCCTTTAAAGCATAAGAAAAAAACTTACATGTTACAGATGATTTAACTAGTAAAAAGCTTCCACTCCTCCGGACAATAGCTCGGTAGGGTTGGAAAATTACAATCACACATAAAGGCTCACTTTCGCTCAGAAAAGATCAGTATGGTTAATATACCATCTAACCGACAACTCACATAATAGAGAAAAAGGAATTTAGAGTAAGAGAAATAAAAAGAGCAAAGAACAGAGCTTTAGAGTGAAGCTTTAAAGAGAAAACAGAAGGAGTAACTGTATTTTCGCATAGAAGAAGGAATAGTAGTTTGCAGACAAAGAGGAATAATAATCTCAAGAGATTAGGATAGAGTATTTTGATATTACCCAGAAGCTGGAGAATCACAGAGAGTTGTTAGAAGAGAAGCAGATGGTTGTGATCATCGAGAAGAGTGGACGATTCCAGAACTTAGGGAAAAACAAGGACTCGAGCTTATGACTTAGAGTAAATAAAATAAAGCTTGAAGCTCAAAGCAGGGAGCAGAAAAGAGTGGAAGAGGGTAGAAGAGAGTAGCTTAGAGAAGAAGTGTACTGGGGAAGATCAGTCTGGGAGAAGACACTCAGACTTTCTCCGGTGCTTAACTCTTTTGCCTTCTTCCCTTATATAGGCCTTGGACGTGAAGATATAATTAATTCGTCTTAATAATTGAGTGCCACGTTGTTCTGAGATGACTAAAGGTAGTGGCACAGTAGTTTGAAGCGACCAAAAGCTGAACAGTGACTGTCGGCAGCATCTAGGAACAGTAAAAAGTTGAATAGCGACTGTCGGCAGCATCTGGGAACAGTAAAAAGCTTAATAGTGACTGTCAGCAGCATCTGGGAACAGTAAAAGTGGTTTGTAACTTTTGTCGGGATTTGTCGGTGGAGTATCTGGCAATAGTACTGAATGACATGTGGCTTCTTTTGGCAGTATGACAGGTGACTTCTTTTGGCAGTATTTGATTGTCTATTTTGACAGTACTAGCGGGCTTTATGGAAACTCGACCCGAGGTTGAGGAAGTTCACAGTCTTCGTTCTCCTAAGCATAATCTTCGTTGTTTGATGTAGACATCGCATCTTCCTCGTCATCGAACATTTGAAGTAGTTGTTTCTTTAATTCTTCTTTAGTAGCTGTAGGATTTTGTTGTTTCATCCTACTAATATATTCGACCATATTATTCATTTTTACTCCTGAGGATGAGATATGGATCTTTCTCAATTTTATATTCTCTGGTTCTATAAGTTTATATACACTTGCCTCCCCAGCTTTGGTATGTATTCCCAATCATTCGTATAATTATCAGAGATATAATAGGACCATTTCATGATCCATGGTATTTGATAGTAGGCCATGAAATACATATGGAGATCTATTTGGTTATTATTTTTATTGAACTCAGCAAACTTTGTTTGCGAGGCTTGTATTTTTATTGGAAGTATTTCTGTTTCAGATCCCCATATCTGGAACCACATCTTAAACCAGTTGGGCAATTCATCTATAAATGGCATTTTTATTTGTAGATACCATGTATGGGAATTATTGATATTTTGGAAGTAAAAGACTTTGT